TTGCAATGCATTCCTTTTCAGTATGCGAGTTCCTGCGGTGTTTCTCAGGTTGCAGGGCTCCGAGGCTCTTCGCTTCGATGCCAATGTTTTCAGACACCGTAGCTCCGTTCCGTAAACATCTTCCAAGAGCCGCTCGCAACCTTTTGCAGCTGGCGGTCTGCAGACGTAGTCTGTCTCAGCATGCGAGCTCCCGCACGCTTCGCCGGCTTTTGCTGCGCGGACAATTTTCTCACACACGTCAGCGCCGTTTGTAGGCGTCAGAAAAACATGTAGACATTCACGAAGGGCTCAGTCTGTATATCGTCACATCATTACATACGCAGTCGTCGAACACATCGGTGTACATTCAGCGCTTTGTCCTTCTAGCTGGGTCGCTTCGTGCTGAGGCTGAGGCTGATGCAGGCTGAGGCTGAGGCAGGCTGAGGCTGAGGCCGAGGCCGACGGCAGACTGAGGCTGAGGCTGAAGCAGGCTGAGGCTGAGGCAGAGGCAGGCTGAGGCTGAGGCTGAGGCAGGCTGATGCTGAGGCAGGCTGAGGCTGAGGCTGAGGCTGATGCAGGCTGAGGCTGAGGCAGGCTGAGGCTGAGGCCGAGGCTGAAGGCAGACTGATGCTGAGGCTGAAGCAGGCTGAGGCTGAGGCTGAGGCAGGCTGAGGCTGAGGCAGGCGGAGGCTGAGGCTGAGGCAGGCTGAGGCTGAGGCTGTGACTGCGACTGCCGTTGCCACTGCGACTGTCATCGCGAATGCGACTACGACTGCGAGAACAGCAGAATTCTACAACTGGATTCTCATCCGAATCTTAAGGGGAATGCTTCCAGATATGCTCCTACACATGGCTGTTAGGTTGCTTTGCCGGGATAATTTGTTTTCTCGCCTTTTCGCTCTTGGACCCGTCTTGGGAGCCTCTTGGGCCTCTTGGGGGGGGGCCTCTTGGAGGCCTCTTGGGGGCCTTTTGGGGCCTCTTGGGGCTCTCTTGGGGCGCTCTTGGGGCGCTCTTGGGAGCCTTCGAGGCGCTCTTGGGGCCATCTTGGAGGAGATCTATCAAAGAAGGGGGGGTCCCCAATTAGCGCTGCCCCTCTAGAGTGCCTCGAGTCGCCTCTTGGGCGCCCCAAGAGGCCAAAATCCTTCCAAAACCTAGGTAAAATCAATGTTTGTTGCTTTCTCGCCTTTTCGCTCTTGGAGCCGTCTTGGGTCATCTTGGACTCTCTTGGGGCCTCTTGGGGGTCTCTTGGCAACGTCTTGGAGGCTTCTTGGGGGCCTCTTGGGGTCTCTTGGGGCCCTCTTGAGGCGCTCTTGGGGCGCTCTTGGGAGCCTTCGGGGCGCTCTTTGGGCCATCTTGGAGGAGATCTATCAAAGAAGGGGGGGTTGCTTATTAGCCCCGCCCCTCCAGAGTGCCTCGAGTCGCCTCTTGGGCCCCCCCAAGATGCCAAAATCCTTCCAAAACCTAGGTAAAATCAATGTTTTGTGTTTTCTCGCCTGTTCGCTCTTGGAGCTGTCTTGGGCCATCTTGGACGCTCTGACACCTCGCGACCGGCCCCGTCCAGGTCAGTGGGGAGGGGTAAGGGGAGGGGTAAACCCCTCCCCGAAGGGGAAGAAGGGGGTTGGCAGAGGAAACTCCCTAGACCACCTACGCCCTAAAGGGCTGGTGGGATTTGGTGTGTGGTTCGTGCCTTGGACGTGTCGGGAGGAGGAAGGAGAGAGAAGTAGAGGGAGGGCTTGGGGGAGATCTGGAGGAGAAGAAGGAGAAGCAGGAGAAGAAGAGGAAGGGGAGCAAGGCAGCCGAACGGAGCTGGAATTGCGTCGGAAGGCGTTGCACCCAATTCTGACTCCATTCTACGGTCAGCCTTCCGTCAGGCATTCAGTTCGGACTCAAGTCAGACTCCACTGGGACTCCATTCTGAATCAATCCCGATGCCCGCCATGATCCGCACGCACTCGATCCTCGCACCGTGGTCACTCCTGTACAACTGCATTCGCAATCCAGTGTTACTCTCATCTTACCTGAATCACTTCATGGCAAATGGAGCTGCCATTTTCAATACTTCATGCACACATGTACATATAACGGGGGACCGGGTCCAGGGGCCGGGGGCCTGTGCCTCGACCGCAAATGTGGAGCCCGGCGCGCCCAGAGCCCTGCCGGAGCGCCGGGGGCCGTCCAAGATCGCCCGAAGATGGCTTCGGAACGCTCGAAAACGCGCTCCGATGGCTCCGGATGCCTTTCAAGACGACTCCCATGACGCCAAGAAGGCCCTCGAAGGCCCCGAAGACGCCCCGAGAGGCACCCCGAGAGAGCCCCAATAAGCAAGAATCGTCGATTTCCTATAGGCAAACTGATGTGTTTGGCGTGTTCGCCTTTTGGGCTTCCACTGCGTCCAAGACGGCCCAAGGGGCACCCAAGCCGGTCGAGGATGCCCCCACGAGGGCCCCAAGACGGCCCACGAGGGAGCCAAGACGGCCCACGAGGCGCCCAAACTGCCCAAGCACGTCCCAAGGCGGCGCCCAAGACGGGGACGAGGAACCTGAAATTCGCCCCTTTTGGCCCAAGAGATCCCCAGGAGACCCCAAGAGCCTCCAAGAAGCACCCAAGAAGCCCCAAGAGGCCCCCATGAGACCCGATAAAACACCCAAAGAGGCCCCGAAGACGCCCCGAGAGGCACCCCAACAGAGGCCCAAATATGCAAACATCGTCGATTTCCTATAGGCAAACTGATGTTTTTGGCGTGTTCGCCTTTTGGGCCTCCACTGCGTCCAAGACGGCCCAAGAGGCACCCAAGACGGTCGAGGATGCCCCCAAAAGGGCTCCAAGATGGCCCACGAGGGGGCCAAGACGGCCCACGAGGCGCCCAAACCGCCCAAGAACGCCCCCCAGGAGCCCAAGAGGCCTTTCCAGGGAGCCTCCACAGCGCCCCAGGAGGGCCCAAGACGCCTCCCATGAGCCCCCAGAATACGAAAGGATGGTGCAAGACGCTCCCAAGCAGCCCAAGTCAGCCTTCCGACGGCTCTCGAGGCTCCCAGGTGGCCTCCAAGCGACCCCAAGAGAGGTCCGAGAGGCGTCCCGGGACGGCCCGAAGAGGCCAACATCGTAGATTTTATGAGTTGTTTCGATGTTTGTGGCTTGTCGCGTTTTCGAGCTTCCAATGGTCCAAGAGCGCCGAAGAGGCTCCCAAGACCGCCCCAAGACCACCCAAGAGACCCTCAGGACGTCCCCAAGACGAGCCAAGGAGGCTCCAAGACTGCCGAAGAGGCGCCCAGGACAGCCCCAGACCACCCAGAACGGGCCCAAAATGGGCCCAAGAGCGGGAGCAGGAGGCTTCCAGAGACCTGCGAGAGGCCTCCAGGACCCCCCAGAGGCCCCCAACACACCCTTGCTCCCTGAGAGGCCCCAAAAAGACCCCGACGAGGCTCCGAGAACAGCCCAAGAGAGCTGCGAGAGCCGTCCCGAGAGAGCCCAAAGAGGGGAAAATCGTTGATTTCCAATGGTTTGTCTAATGTTTTTCGCCTTCTGACGTTTTCCCGCTTCCAACCCTCGAAGATCGAGTTTTTTTTGGGGGGGAAAAGGGAATTCCCAGAGTTCCTTTTTTTTCAAAGTGGGACTCCGACTCGAAGATCCCACGCATCCCCTGACATCTGGCCGGTACCGCAGCGGTACCGCGCCTCCCGGCTTCCTGGGGGGGCCCCAAGACGCCCAAGGACAGCCCAAGACGACCCCAAGGAGCCCCCAGAACGTAAAGAACGGCCCAACACGCTCCCGCGCAGCCCGATACACCCTTCCGACGGCTCTCCAGGCCTCCAGGAGGCCTCCAGAACCCCCAGGGGGTCCGGAAGATCCCACACCCCTGAGGGGCCCGGCTAACAAAGCTCGCGAGGCACAAACAAAAAAATGCGCCGAACAGCGCCGAGGAACTGGGAAAACATTAAAATCCCACAATTCCTTTTTTTCAAGTTTGGCCCCTGGCCTACTGTTGCACAACAACCACAATTCAGACCCCCTCACCTCCCAAGAAAAACCCAGGAAGCCTTTGAGGGCCCCGATTCTTTGAAACCGAAAGGGAATCAATGATTTCTGCGTTTCCGCACTGCCCCTTCTATACGATTCCGAGGTTTGCGCAGCGCCTCCAAGGGAGCCCCTGGACGCAAGAAGCGACCAACATGAGATTACATGAGTTGACCGATCAAGCCTTGCTAGAACTTGAGCGCGCGCGAAGCGCGCGATGGTTCTAGTCCTTGTACCTAACTACACACAAATGTATGTATGTATGTATGTATGTATGCATGTATGTATGTATGTATGTATGTATGTATGTATGTATGTATGTATGTATGTATGTATGTATGTATGTATTTATATGTATGTATGTATATATATATACATATAGATATATTCACACATCTGCACATATGTGTATGGTAAGGATATACACGAAACTGTACGTATGTGTAGCGTGTGTGTGTGTGTATGTGTGCGAGCGTGTTTCAGTATTGTGGACCGCCCGTTATCATGTTCCTCGTTGCTTGGCGTCTTATACGGGTCATTGGGTCCTGAGTTGTGCTTGGAATTCGTGCGGGGCCTCACACCATGTGCCAGTCTAGTCATCCTGCACCTCTACAGTAAGGTGTTATGTGACGCTGCTGCCAGCGCGTGTCTTGGCTCAGCGAAGAAGAGGAGCAGGAGTACGATGATTAATGAAGACGGATAGCTAATGATGCGGAAGACAGGCATTGAAAGAAAGGCGTGACGAGAAGGACGAGGAAGCAAGCGTGAAATAGGAAGGATGAGAGGGTAGAGGCATCCCAGGAAGAGGGGAACTTACGATGATGAAGAGGCAAGAAGAGAAAGACGGAAGTGCATGAGTAGGAAAAGGAGGAGTGCAACTTAGATGGAAGTGATAGGGAAGTAGGAGGAGGAGGAAGTGGAGGGCGAAGGGGAGGGAGAAGTGTTTCTTGGAGGTTGGGGGGAGGGAGGGGCGGGATGGGACAGGAGGAGGCGCCGTCGCCACCCAGGACTCATGGTTCGTGCTCCGCGTCGAGGGCGAGAAGGACTGCTCGATCTACGCCGTCTTCGACGGGCCCCCATGGGGCGGGGGCACACACTGACAGCAAGGGAGGATGAGAGGAGTGAGGAGGAGGAGGAGGAGGATGTGGAGGAAGAGGAGGAAGGGAAGGAGGAGGAGGAGGAGGAATAGGAGGAGAATGAGGCCGACTCGGGTTCCTGTTCTGCTGTTTGCATACGTCCAAGAACCCAAATGGCATCGCACCTCATGCCACTCACATGTTAAAAAGGAGTACGAGGAGGAGGAGGAAGAGGAGGAGGATGAGGAGGAGGAGGAGGATGTCCTTAGCCTGGCACAAACCTTTGGCTCAAACCGCCACGGCTCGAGGTGTCGCAGCGTCTTCTTTATGCATACCTGCCCGCATACCTGGGCCATAACAGGGCCGCGGAGGCTACGGAACCTCTCATTTCATCTTGGCCGCAGGCGGTTGGACGCTGGGACGGCAAAGGCAGAGGCGAAGCGAGAGGCAAAGGCAAAGACAAGCATACCCAGGCCAACGTGCCGCCCTCAACTCGCTGAGCGCCAACGCCGTCGAGCCAGACCGACTACTCATGGCAGTGCATGGGTTGTTCTGCGGATGCCAATATATGCGTTATTCGTGCTGTTGGCAGTGCGGTCAGCATTGGGCCATTTGAAGAGCACCGTGGCGAGCTCTCCCGGGAACTCAGGCCGCACCAAGGTCAATTATGGTTCCGCCACCAGGGATAAAGAGAATAAGGAGAAGCCGTTGGGACCGCATATTAATCACCTGCTACACACCTACGACTTGCTGAAGGCAAATCAGTCGAAGAGTGAATATTACGGCGGCGAGTTGCAGGAGTCGGAGGCAGCGGGGGCAGTTGAAGCTGTCATGGAAAGGTTTCGACGCCAACGCGACTCGAAGAACAGTGCAGTTCATTTGTATCAGGCCCCATGTCCGCTAAGCTCGGCACGGTTCAGGAGCATCTCGAGCAGCAGGAGGCATACGCTGTGAATCAGGAGCGAGTTTTGGACGACGTGAATGTGAGGAAGGCTGTGTTGGGAGCGGATCTGACCACAGCCAGAGCCACTCGATACGAGCTCGAGGCCAAAACCATGTTGCTGATGAGCTATACCCCATTCAGGCGCGTGCTCTTCCATGGGGGTCGTTGCAGACCCGCATGTCAGCATGGCGCCGCCAGGCCTCGTCAGTCCTTTCGCGCGCGCGGGGGGGGGGGCAACGGAGCATCAATGGCGGCGCTTTGCGGGATGCAGAGTCCTTTTGACATGAGTGGCTACCTGCAAGGACTCAACTACCCTAGTATGTAACTACACCCAGTCCTTCGAGCCGGGCTGGACGAGCACGCGGTCGCTTATGCCAGCGTTGCACGCGCAGGAGGCAGACTCCCCATGGTCAGCCCGCGTCGCGAGGAGCGCCAGAACGCGGCCGGGGCCCCGGGGCCACGTCGGAGCGCTCGGAGGCCACCGGCGGACAGGCGGAGGCAGCTGCGTCGGAGGGCTCGGAGATGAAGCAGGCCCCGCTGGCCAGCCGCCGCTCGGCGGCGGACGCGGAGCGCGAGGCGGAGGCTCCAGCGGCGCATCGCCGTCGCGAGGAAGGCGTTGCGGAGGCCGTGGGCGACCCGCCCTGCGGGTGACATTCAACGGCCCTATGACAGAGGAGGCAGACTCATCATCCAGACGGTGAACGAAATTTCCTGGAGCAGTGCGTCGGCCTTCGCGATGAGCGCCAGCGCCCACGTCGCACTCGTTCCAGAACATAAACTCCATGGTCAGCCTCTTCTGGGGGCGGAGGAGTTCTTGCGCAAGCAGGAGTTGCGCGGCGTTCTGGCTCAATGCTTTGTCGCCCGACGAGGCGGCAAGAGTGCTGGAGTCTGCATTCGCGCTCGAGCGCACTCAGATGTCTGGCAGCCCCCTCTCGAGCAGTCAGCCCCGCTTGCGGATTTCAGCCGCGCAGTGGCAAAGCGCCCCGGCTCGCCTATAGCACCACCAAACAATGTTTTAATAACATGTTTTGTGGTTCCCACGAAATGTTCTTAGAGCATTCCTGGCTGGGACAGTCTTGTTTTAACACATCGGGATTCTGTTCTAAGAACACTGTTCTTGTTCTTGGAACATTTTTGTGTTCTAAAAAACATTTCGTGACATGACTATAGGAATGCCGGGGCGGTTGGCCCCTGCTCATTCCTGGGTCATCCACGGTTACTTCAAGAGCAGGTCCTTTGGTGTTGTTTCCATATTGTGAACTTGCTGTACAGCTGGGGCTGGTCTCGGAATGCAGATTCCCTTCAGGCCCAGAGACTGGGGCAGGGCGTCGCTCGTCGGAACCCCCCGTGCATCTCGTCGCAGCGTAGAGCCTCGTTGGTTTTTAAGGGGTTGTGCCCCCGTAAGCTGAATGGCCAGTTATGCACTCCGAACCCCCTGCAGACCTGCCCAGCTAGCGCGCCGGGCCGCCGCCGAGACTATTTCCCGGCCCCCGAGCAGCTGCCTCCTTGCGTCGAGTCGACGAAGGCCGACCTGGATGCAGATATTTACCCGCGTCGCCTTGTAGAGCTTTTATCGGCTGCCGCGCCCTGCGCCGCGGCCGAGCGGTGCGAGGAGCAAAAACGCTTTTTCCTCGACACCGAGCGCAGCTGCGCCGCCGCCGGGATCACCTTCATTCCCATGGTGGTCGAGGCGCACGGCGGCGGCCGGGGCGAGGAGGCGCGACGTGCCCTGGCCGTCCTGGCCAAGCGCGCGGCGGACGCCACGGGGGGCGACCCCTCGCAGGTGGCGGCGGAGCACGCCCAGCGACTCTGGCATCTCCTCCAGAAGGAGAACGCGCGGGCCGTGCTCCGCAGGCTGCAGGCGCCGGTCGGGGCGCCCGCGGCCAGGCGGGCGGCCACGGCGGCTAGCGCGGCCGACGCCGCCTGAACCGCCGCCCCCCCCTGACCACGACCACTCCTCCTCTGACCACGACCGCCGCCCCCGACGCCCTGCCCCAACGACCCCCCCTGGCCTTGGCCACGACGACGACCGCCCCCGTCCGCCCCCTGCTTGCTCTGCGCTGCCTCTGCTGCTCCCCATCCCTCCTTCTGGTCAGCGTCTGTTCAGTGTGTGTTTCCTCTTGCCTCTCGTCTGCCCCCTCCTCCTCCTCCTCTTCCTCCTCCTCCTCCTCCTCCTTCTCCTTCTCCTCCTCCTCCCCTTCCAGCGCGGACCAGCCCGCGGCGCGTTCGCCCGCTGATATTTGGCCGCGGCGCGCTGCCCGCCGGCAGGGCCAGGCTGTCTCGCAGCGACCCGCGGGTGGCCGGGGGCCCGCGTTCCGCCCCCATCGGCCCCCCTCCTTCCTCTTCCTCCTCTCCCCCCCCCTCCCCCAGGCAGCGCAGCCTGCCCAGCGCAGGCGGCGCGCGGCAACGTGCTCTTTTCCCCGCCAGAGCCTCGACGTCTCGAGCGGGGCCGGCCGCCGAAGGCAGGCGCGGTGACCCGAGCTTTTGGCTGCGTGGACTGACGCCGCGTAGCACGCAGGGGCAGTCAGTCTCTGGGGTAGGAACCGCTTGTAGAGCCCAGATCCCGAGGGGACTTCGACATGCCCACGGTGCAGAGGCTCTTGAAGAACCCGAAGCTTTCCGTGGACATCCCCGCAGGGCCTGCCCCTGAGAGCCCCGACCGCGAGCAATTCGGACGGGTTGGGCGAGGTTTCGACGCCACTCGAGGTCTCAGGGGGAGGGGGGGGGCTCGTTGACCCGGGGGATCGAGGCGTCTTGGGCCGCGGCAAAGTTTGAATCAATTTTGCGCGGGTTGGCGTGAGCTTTCTTGGAGCGAGTTCAGAGGCGCACTCCGGAGTTTTCCAAAAAGACGCCAAGGAGGTCTACTGCAAGCCGCTGTCGAGACCCCCCTGGCCGAGATTTCGCGCACCAAGCGCTCCCCGACTCGCGGCCCTTATAAGGCTTCGAGATGGCCGTCGCAGCGCCGAGGCGAGATTCAAGGCCTGATCGAGAACGGCAAGCTCGAGGCGCGCAGCCAGCATTTCAGCAGCCGGCCCCAATCTTCTTTCAAGGCGTCGCAGAACGGAGGCATGTTTATCTGCGACTACCCTGGGGGCCAGGAGTTCCGGCGCGGGTGCATTGCGGCTGCCCTGGCTCCGCCTTGGAGTTTCTTTGATATTTTTGCAGAAGCGGTTCGTGCTCTCGAGGCCCTCGGGACCATGGTAAATCATATGTCTACGAGGCCCTGTGTCAAGCCCTGCGTAGAGAGGGCCGACCCTTCGGCCGCGTGGAAAGATCGGCGCGCCGCAGCCCTCAGTGGCGGAGTCAAGCGGGCACGCGCCCACGCGCAATCGGCAGAATCTAGCGAGCAAGATTTGCTCCCTACAGACGATGGGGGAGCCGCGTCGCGCTTGCCCTCGCAGCTGTCTCAGGAGGTCGCCGAGCCGCCAGAGGCCCGATGTGTGAGTTCTGGAACCTGGGGCCCCGAGGCGGTGCTCCAGTGGCCCCCGGGCGCGATCATCCCGCGGCTCCCGGAGGCCACCGACATTGTCGAGATCTCCCGCGGCTTCCAGGGCCACAATTGCTGCAGATGGCCATCGCCCCAGGCGTTGCCAATGTCTCTGCGAGCCAGCCCTGATGCGTTTGAGCTGCATGCTCGGCATCCTTGACTTGGGGTCGACCCCTTCCTGGACGCAAGTTCTGGTTGTCGCTCCGTTCGGGAAGCCAATCGATTGGGGCGTCGGCCCATGCCCCCCCCCCCCCCCCTTCCAGAGGCTGGTCCGGGAGCTTTCCAGGTGGAACGCAAGCGGGCGCAACTTTTGGGAGAGCTCGATCATAGATCGGCATTTCCCCGCGCCACCAGGGGGGGGGGGGGGGGGGGGCGGGCGCGGTCTGCAGCAGACTGCGATGGGCAACCTGGCAGTCTCCGTCCGCGAGCACGCGCTAGCCCTCCAGGCGGACGTAAAGCAGTGCGACGAGCATGTTCAGCCCGGCAAGCTTCTATGATCGGCCTTGGACTGGGCCCCGCCTCTGCGCGCCCTGCGTTTCTCGCTCCGCGCGTGCATATGGGGCGGG